TACAAAAGAAAGGGGAATAAGAATATACAAAATAAGGCTAAGATGACCTACAGAATGAGAGAAAATATTTGTAAATCATATATCTGATAAGGATATAGTTTCCAGAATATATAAAGAACTCTTACAATTCAACAACAAAAAAAGCAAATATCCCAATTTAAAAATGGGCAAAAGACCTGAATAGACATTTCTCCAAAGATATACATATGGCCAATAAGCATTCTAAAACATGCTCAAATCAAAACCATAATAAGATACCACTCCACACCAAGTAGCATGGCCACTATAATAATAGCAATAGAGATCTGCTGGCGAGTGGGATGCACGCCTTGCGAGAGGTGAGGTTGAAGCTGCCTCCGCCATCTTGGAGATGGGAGATGGGCGACGGCTGTGGTCCTTCAGCTAATGCAAACAACAAAACGGGCACACTAGTCACACCCGAGGGAGGCCACCATCACTGTTAACTGTTTGCCAAAGCTACAAAAGAAACGAGGTGTCCAACTGAGCGCGGTGACACTGAAAGCAGCTTCCCCTGCCTTCTGCGGCTGCGGAAGTGAAGTGCCAGAGGACCGGAAGGATGGTGCAGTCCTGCTCCGCCTATGGCTGCAAGAAACGCCAGGACCAGGACAAGGACAAGCCCGTTTCTTTCCACAAGTTTCCTCTTACTTGACCCAGTCTCTGTAAAGAATGGCAGGCAGCTGTCAGAAGAAAAAACTTTAAACCCACCAAGTACAGCAGTATTTGTTCAGAGCACTTTACTCCAGACTGCTTTAAGAGGGAGTGCACAAGAAGTTACCGAAAGAGAACGCTGTGCTCACAATATTTCTTTGTACTGAGCCACAGGACAAGAAAGACGATCTTCTGGAGCCACAAGAACAGCTTCCCCCACCTCCTTTACCGCCTCTTTCCCAGGTTGATGCTGCTATTGGATTACTAATGCCACCTCTTCAGACCCCTGTTAATCTCTCAGTCTTCTGTGACCACACTGTACTGTGGAGGATACAGTGCACCAGCGGAAAAGGATTCATCAGCTAGCACAGCAGGTTGAAAAACTCAGAAAAAAGCTCAAGACTGCACAGCAGCGATGCAGAAGGCAAGAACGGCAGCTTGAAAAATTAAAGGAGGTTGTTCAATTCCAGAAAAAGAAAGACGACGTATCAGAAAGAGGTGATGTGATTCTACCAAATGACTACTTTGAAATAGTCGAAGTACCAGCATAATAAAATGAAATGTGTATTGATTTCTAATGGGGCAATACCACATACCCTCTTCTGGCCTATAGAGGAGTTTCATTTAAAAAAAATAACACTTGTTATATAAAAACAGTTAAGAACATTTTTTAAAAAGAGAATTCGATATATACTTTAAAATTATAAATATTTTGTTTGTAATTTCAAGTTTTTTACATTTTAACAAAATATTTTAAAAGTTATAAACTAACCTCAGAACTCTAAGTTGGTTTCAAGATTGGAGATTTTTGGGGTTTAGTATTTATAGAAATAATGTAAAAATAAAAAGTAAAAAGAATGAGAACAGTACAGTAAAAGGGTGATTTAAGTTTAAAACTTAAAATTAATACTGTTTTATTGAAAGAACTAGTTATATTTTAAATCAGAAGTATGGGTCAGATCATGGGACATTACTTCTCAGAATATATGTATATGTACATATTATTATGTGTAAAGTCACAAGGTTCATTACTTTCTGAATCAGTTATCAAGGATAAACTGGCAAGTCAGTACTTAAAAAGAAAAAAAGATTTGATTGTCTTCAGCAGAAAAGAGTCATTCTATATCTAATCAATAACTTTAGATTCTAAGAGTGGATTTTTTTTTTAATGGGCTCCTATTTTTTCTCCTACTGTCTAGCTATTTAAAATTAGAAGTGTATTTTCAGTGGAAAAAACATTCTTCAATAAATAAAGTAAGACATTGTTATCAGTGAAGTAATTAAAAAAAAAGTGTTGGCAAAAATGTGGAGAAATTGGAACCCTTACATACTGCTGGTGAGATTGTAAAATGGTACAGCCACTGCAGACAATAGTTTGGCAGTTTCTTAAGTTTAACACAGAATTACCACACGACCTAGCAATTCCACTCCTAAGTATGTGTCCCAAAAACTGAAAACAGAAATTCAAACAAATAATTATATGTGAATGTTCACAGCAGCCCTATTCACAATACCATAATAACCAAAAGGTGAAAATAACCCAAACATTTTATCAACAGATAAATAAACAAAATGTGGTATATCCATACAACAAAATATTATCCAGCTATTAAAAAGGAATGAAGTACTGATACAGTGCTACGACATGGATGAACTTTGCAAATAAGCTAAGTGAAAGAAACCAGACACAAAAGGTCACCTACTATATGATTCCATTTATATGAAATATCCAGAACCAGTCAATCCACAGAAGGAGAAGGCAGATTAGTAGTTGCCACAGGCTAGGGGAGGGGGCAATGGTGGGGAAGTGACTGTTTAGTAGGTATTGGGTCTTCTTTGGGGTGGATAAAAATGTTTTGAAACTAGATAAAGTAACAGTTGCGGCCGGACACAGTGGCTCACGCCTGTAATCCCAGCACTTCGGGAAGCCGAGGCTGGTGGATCACCAGAGGTTGGGAGTTCGAGACCAGCCTGACCAACATGGAGAAACCCCATCTCTACTAAAAATGCAAAATTAGCCAGGTGGGGTGGCACATGCCTGTAATCCCAGCTACTTGGGACGCTGAACCAGGAGAATCACTTGAACCTGGGAGGTGGAGGTTGCGGTGAGCCAAGATTGTGCCATTGCACTCCAGCCTGGGCAACAAGAACAAAACTCCTTCTCAAAAAAAAAAAAGAAGTAACCATTGCACAACACTGTAAATGTACTAAATGCCACTGAATTGTGCACATTAAAATGGTTAGTTTTATGTTATGTGAATTTTACCTCAACTAAAAACAATGGCTGAATATCATAATCACAACAAGAAATAAAATCAAAATATTAAAAGGTTCAATGGAGGAAGATACCATTTTTAGGAGGAAGGGCCCAAGAAAGGAGTCTTATCAAATACTTCATTTGCTCCCTTACCAAAAGCTAGATAGAATATAACTGGTAATTACAAGAGTGTGTTAATACAGAACTGTGATTGAGGCATAACGAGTGCCAAGACTGGGGAGACCACAGAATTTATTGTCCAAACTAGAACTCTTCAGAATGAAATTGACTTCATTAGTAATTATACTAGACAAAAGGTGTACCACCTGGACTATCCCAGGCAAACTGGAACATATGATCAGGATAGCTTAGAGAGTACCACCTTATATAGAAATATTACTCAGCTATCAAAAAGAATGAAGTAAAAGAAATGGGATTCAGAAAAAGTTCCTAGAGGAGCAAAGATCTGAATAAGAAATTGGAGTTGTCAAGTGAAGAAATATTCCAAGCCAAGAGGACATTACATACAAGGCCAGGAGGGAAAGAGCATGACCCTGGGAGAAACTGTAAGTATGGACAGTTCCACACAGAGCAGAGAAAGCATATGTCTGTGGGGAAAGGGGTTGTGGAGACAGATAAAGGGGAAGGGCTCGAAGGAGGCAGATCTGGAGGGTCCCATATGTCATATTAGAGTGTTTTAATTTTATCCTCAGGACAATGGAAGCCACTGTAGGGGGTAAGGATGTGCCCTGAACAGATTCACATATTGTGAAAGGCCACACTGGATGAATGTGGAGAACAGAGGAAAGAGAGCAAGGGCTACAGATAGGGAGGACAGTTAGCAAGCTCTAGGTGAGAGCTGTAGGTGGCCCAAGCCAAGACAGTGGCATTAGAGATAAAGGGAAATGAGCAAGTAGAAAGCAATTTTGAGTGGTGTGTTCCCATGAAATATCCAAGAGATAGTTCCTATGAGACTATCTAGCTGGCTGCTATCTGTATGAGTCTGAAGCTCCTTCACTTATTCAACATAGTTTTATGGAGAGTAATAAATGCTGGTGATACAATTGTGTACATTCAGACCATATGCTTATTTTCATGAAACTTACAATCTAATGGTGGGAATAAGAGAAGAGTAATAGGTAACATAAAAACATGTAAACGATAACATGAGACAGTGATGAGTTCTATAAGGAGAATTAAAGTAAAATAATAATATAAGAGAGTGACTGGGCAACTCTAAATGTGATCAAGAAATGCCACTGAATATTTAAAATGAACTTAAACTGAGAGATGTGTGACAAGAAGAATGTAATCATGGCCGGGCGTGGTGGCTCACACCTATAATCCCAGCACTTTGGGAGGCAGAGGTGGGCAGATAGCTTGAGCTCAGGAGTTCAAGAGCAGCCTAGGCAACATGGAGAAACCCCATTTCTACCAAAAAAAAAAAAAAAAAAAAAACTTTAAGAAAATAGCTTCTGTCCAAACCTGCAAATGCAACCAACTCAAGTATCAGTCATAAATTATTTTGGACATATAGACAACTACAGTTCAACCTACTTCTACTCCATCTTCTGTACTTTTAGATAAGAGAAATTACTATAAAGCAATAAGCATGTGGATTCTTGTGCCTTAGCCACCTGAGTAGCTGGGATTACAGGCATGCACCACCATGCCTGGCTAATTTTTGTGTATTTGGTTTTGCCATGTTGGCCAGGCTGGTCTCAAACTCCTGGACTCAAGTGATCTGCCTGCCTCAGCCACCCAAAGTGCTGAGATTACAGGCATGAGCCACCACCTCCAGCCCAGAACTTTTAGTTAGCTGTCATTTATATGTGTCCCTTATGTGCTAGGCACTGTGCTAACTGCTAATATGTGAAACTAAAAAGGAGCTCTTCACAATGACCTCTCAAAATGGAAAAAATCTTGCCAGAATCCAATACCTTCCTTTTACAAAGAATACACTGGTGACAAAAATAATATCTACCCAAGTCTTGTTCATTACTGCATTGACAAGTTTTCTATGCTAGGCATATACAAGCCAATACAGTTAATTATTATTATTTTGAGACGGAGTCTCAGTCACCAAGCTGGAGCGCAGAGGTGCGATCTCTGCTCACTGCAACCTCCACCTCCCAGGTTCAAGTGATTCTCCTGCCTCAGCCTCCTGAGTAGCTGGAATTACAGGTGCCTTCGACCAGGCCCGGCTAAGTGAGCCACCGCGCCCAGCCAAGTTAATTATTTTATAGGTAATTTTCAAAGCAAGATGACAAGGTGGTTTGGAAAATTCTGTCCTTACAAAGAAATGTATAACCCTTTTCAATCCAAGACTGCCTCCTGTTCTGCGACTTCATCTCCTCTTTCACAGACAAACACCTCCTGGGGCAGTTAGTTCATCCATACAGGCCATAGTTCTCATGGCCTATGACTTTTTCTGGTCTTTTAAGGATCCGACTTTCACCTACCACTCCAGTCCTTACCTGATTGCCCAGCACGGCGGTGGCACAAGCTGTGGACACTTCTTTGGGCCCAAACCACACTGAGGCGATGCGGGAGGGCAAGCCCAGGATGAACACCTGGGCCACGGAGCACAGGCACTGGCCCAACATGGTGACCCAGAAGAGATGCTGCTGCACACTGCCGCACTTGATCCAGGCGCCCAGGCAGTTGAGGCCGGAGCCCAGCAGGGCGGTGAGCCGAAGGCCTCTGGTGTCCAGCAGCCAGGTAGCCGGGAAGATGAGGGGCACGTAGGCCAGCATGTACACCATGGACAGCCAGTCGATGTGCAGCAAGGTGACACCGTAGAAGCCCTCGAAGACGTTGCTGATGATGCTGTACTGGATCCACTGAAAGGCGTTCACCAGCGAGTACAGGCTGAAGATCAGGAGAACCACGAAGCGCCGCGGGGAGAGCGCTGTCAGGGGCAGCGGGGCGCCCTCGGCCCCCGGGGTCTCCGCCCCGGCGCCCGCAGGCAGGAGCCGGGCCTGGGTCTCCTCTTCCGGGGCTAGCGGAGTCTGAGGCCCGCCCACGGCTCCCGAGGCGGCGGCGAGGCTGTCGCAAGGGGCCCCATTCACTGGGAGAGAACCCGCTTTGGGCCCGTTCTGCGGCTCCAGGCTCCCCTTCCCGGCGGGCGCGCCCCTTGGCAGCGGGAGGTATCCTTTCGCGTGTGGGTGTCCGGCCGCCACTGCCGCCCCCTCCTCATCGTCTGGACGCGCCATGTCCCCCGCTCCCCGGCGCCACCTCGCGCCCCCGCCCCCCTCTCCCCCCCCGCACCCTCGGCCCACAGCCCAAGGTCTTCCCGGGACCCCACCTCCACCCCCTCGGCCCACCGCTCTTTCCTCGGTGGCGCGCGCCGCGAACCGCAAGCCGCGCCACCGCGTGAACAGATGAAGGCGTCCCAGTCCGCGCCGCGCGGCGGTCACCCCTCGTCTGGTCCCGCCCCTAAGAGTCGCGTGTCCCACTTGACGACGGTCCTCCGGCCAATCAGCGCGCGTATTTGCCCGGCGCAACAGCAAATCGGGAGCTATCGGGCTGGGCGGGAGCGAACTGCCGGACTGCGGGGGAGGGAAGCGGGCGGGGAGTGCCGGCTGCTGTTTTCCTGCCCGGAAGGATGGAGGAACCAGGGTCCGCCGCACCTGGGGGTGGGGAGGCGGCCCGGGGTTGTGTTGCTGGAAAAAGGGGGTCTCGACTCGGACCCCAAGAGAGGGTTCTTGGGTCTACCGCAGGAAAGAATTGGAGGCAAGTCACAGAGCGCAGTGGAGGAAGCAAAGTTTACTGGAATCTGCTCCGTTGGAGCCTGGCATCCTCTGACTGCAGGAGAAGGAGCTCCCGTCCTTTGGTAGTCACTACTTAGGGGAAACTGTGAGAAGCCGTGATTAAACGTGGAATTTGCAGATGTGCCCACTAAAGATAGGGCTGTTGGTGCACCAATGACCATTAATCCTTCAACCTAAGCCTGCGCATGGCCATAAATATTGTGTAATTATAATTGCTGGTCAGCTTAGAATGCGGCTATTTTCAGACCTTTAGCATTAACCTTATAGGTGCCCTGTGAGTGCCTAGCTACTCACTAACATGCAATCACTCTGGCCTTGTTTTAGTAAACCAGATGCCTGGTAAGCAGTGACTCCTCTAACAGGTGGGCAGCTTGGAACTGGGAACGAGAGGGCCACCGAAACAGAATGAGGAAGACAAAGAAGTGGGCATCACCCTCGCCTCCACAAGGGCTTCCCAAGGGCGCTGTCCCCTACGCAAGCCCAGGACGAACTTTATTTGTCGCCCCAGCATCGCTGTCCGTCTGTGAGACCCTGGCTTTAGGGCAGACAGGACCACGTTTCATAAATTCATGCTGTCCCAGCAGAGGAACAACGTCAGAAAGCGTTCCAGCATAACTTCCCTTGTGAAGCTGGAATCCCCCCAACCTCACCCTGCTGACTTGGAGGAAGCACTGAGACAGGCTGTGATGGAGCAGATCCGGTTGCTCCACCTTCTTCCTCGGACCAACACGTGTAGTTAACAGTTACTCGACCGACATGCATATTCAGTTGGCTCCAGGCACCAAACTTGTGTTGAATCGTATGTGCCAGACACTGTCTTGAGATCTGGAGAATAAAAAAAATAAAAACGAGATATCCAGAGCACAGTAACCTTGCGTGTCTTCCTGGACTAGAGAAAATTCAGACCTGCTGCTCCTTGGGAAGCTATGTTGGGAAAGAAAAAAAAGAGAGACGCCGAATAATTTGTTGTTAAATTGAAACTAGGTGTATATAGTACAGGAATTCTTACCATGCATTTAATCGTAAAAAGTGCTGATATCTAGAACCCTAAACCCCTGCACTTTGTTTTATTGCCTCTTACATTATTATTTTGGTCATGTATGAAATATGTTAGGCATCTCTTGGCACAGGTGAAATGCTACATGTTCAAAACTAAGGAATAAGTGCATTATAATGTCTTCCTTGGCCAAACTACAGCTAGTGCTCGACTTACGACCACGATTGGTTCCGACAGACTGGTCGTAACACGATTTGGTCGTAAGTTGAGTAGGCTATATGCACGCGGAGATGGTAGTGCTGCCGGAAGCTGGTCCGCACTGTGTTATGCCCAGCTGGGCAACGTTTGCGCTGCCAGACGCGGAGCAGTCGTGGCTAGTGATTGTGGTCGTAAAGTCGAATGGTCGTAAATTGCATAGGTGGTAAGTCGATCAATACCTGTACTGTATATAAATTCTACCTCCTCACCCCCAACATTCCTTCTCTGTTTTTTCTTTCTTTCCTCTCTCCCTCTCTCTTTCTCTCTCTCTCGCGCTCTCTCTCTCTCTCTCTCGCGCTCTCTCTCTCTCTCTCTCGCGCTCTCTCTCTCTCTCTCTCTCTCTCTCTCTCTCTCTCGGCTGACCACCAAGGCCGAGTGATCTGCTCACTTACACCTCCCAAAGTGCTGAGATTACAGGCATGAGCCCTTGCGTTGGGCCTTTGTCTGGTTGTTTTCTCCCTTTCCGCTACAATGTGAGTTCTAACGGCAGGGCTCAAAGTTTGGTTGCTTTTTGCTACCTCTACTATTTTTCAAGAATTTGTAACATACTATGTTCGAGTACCTGGCACATAGTAGGTGTTCAGTAAATATTTACTGAGTGTGTATTTTAAATAATTACTCGCTTTGAAAAGAAATCCATTTCTTCTCTCTGCCCAACAGCCCCCGCACTGCCATCACGGACACCAGCCTTGTGCCCCCATCTAGCTGGCCAGGGTCACCAAGGTCCTGGGCAGAATCAGCTCTCAGGGAGAGTGCACACAGGAATTTATGGATGACACAAGCCACTCCATCATCCGCAGAGTAAAAGGCCCTGTGTGCAAGGGCTATGTGGAGCCAGAGCCAGAGGCCCGGAGATGGCACTGTGCTTGGCTGCTCACTGAGTCTTGATTCGACCACTGGGTCCGTGAGAATGGAGTGCCACGATCCGCTCCTTTATTTTATTTTTTGCCAGCCACATGGAAATTGAGATACACGTTTAAATAAAGCATTTGTGTTCCAAATTAAAAAGCAAGAAATAAACAGAGAGAGGTAGGAAGGAAATAGATTTCTTTGATTATTATTATTATTTATTATTATTTTATTTTTGAGATGAAGTTTTGCTCTTGTTACCCAGGCTGGGGTGCAGTGGTGCAATCTCAGCTCACTGCAGCCTGCACCACCTGGGTTCAAGAGGGTCTCCCTCCTCAGCTTCCCAAGTAGCTTACAGGCACCTGCCACAACATGAAATCTATTTATTTTAAAAAAAAAAATCTTGCAAACTTTCAGAAGGAAGGGAGGGAGGGAGGGAGGGAGGGAAATCTATTTCTTAAAAAAAAATTTTTTTCTGCAAACTTCCAGAAGGAAGGAAGGAAATCTATTCCAAAAAAAAAAAAAAAAAAATTCTTGCATCCTTTGCAAAACACCAGACTAAAAAAAAGAAAGAAAGAAAACAAAAGAAAAAAAATTCTTGCAAACTTCAAGATAGAGTTTGTGTTCCAAATTTTAAAAAAAGAAAGAAATCTGTTTCTTTAAAAAAGAAAATCTTGCAAACTTCCCTGACAAACATGATTTTCTAAACATTGGAGATTATTCTAGATTACTGAGGCGTGTTCTCTGAATGAAGACAAAAAGTAAGTGTGGAATCCAAATTGGGCCTTAGTTAGGAAGTTGATTTTATGAATTTCTAAGAAAATGAACTAATTGCGTTGCTTACTATTCAGCATAAAGCTGGACACAGTGGCTTATGTCTGTAATCCTTGTATTTTGGGGAAGGCTGAAACAGAGGCTCACCTGAGCCGGGGAATTCGAGTCTGGCCTGGGCAACATAGGGACACCTTGTCTCTAAAAATAATATTCAGCACAATTATTCAATATTCACAGGCATTTTTTCTGTACTTTCATGTACCATGAAACCTACATAGCTCACACACAAAAAAAAACTATTTGGAAAGGGAATCCAGTGGGTTAAATTTTAAATGACCTTTCTTTGCTTGCCCCAACCATACCTCTTTTCCAGATGTCCACAGTAAACATTCAGGTATCTGCAAACTTTCCACCCCTTCCTGAAACCAGAGACCGAAATGTTATATTAGATCCAATTTCCCTATTATCCAGTGGGGGCTAGACATCATCTTCTGCCATATCTAATAGATAACTCCTCTGTGCACTGGGGAGCTTCCTGAACATACTACTACAAGGAGGCCATTTTTTCTGACTGTTTAGGCTCCTTCTGTTTAGAGATCATTTGTCTTTTCTATGTCCTCAGCAAGAAGGATTGGGTTGACAATTCCCTGGGTGTCCTGGACAGCCAGTCAGCTCATAATTTTCTTAGGCATTTTTATGAGCTGGCTGGCCCCTATTCCTCTCTCTCTCTCTGTCTCTCTCTCTGTGTTGCCCAGGCTGGTCTTGGACTCATGGCCTCAAGCAATTCTCCTGCCTCAACCTCCCCCCAAATGCTAGGGTTACAGGCATAAACCACTGTGCCCAGCCATCTGTCCTACTCTCGTACCCACCTTTATCATGTGCTTTCCTTGCACATATATCTGACACTACCACCACTTCCCTGGAATGTACCACCAAGGGGGTCTAGAGTATTTGGCAAGGGCATCAGAGCTACAGCAAGCTGCCTGGGTTTGAATACCCTGCTGAAGCATTCATCGGCTATGTGACCTTGGGCAAGTTACTTAGCTGTTTAGGATTACAGGATCCTGCTGTGTAGGATTATTATGAGGATTAAATGATTGAACAATGCCTGGCACATGTTAGGCATTCTCAGTTACAGTTAGTAAGATGATCTAGTGTAGTGATTGGTCAAGTGCTCAGGCTCTGGAACCAAGTGTCCTGGGCTCAAATCCTAGCTCTTTCACTTACTAGCTGTATGACCTTGGATTCGTTATTGCATGTATGTGTACCTGTAAAATGAGGATAATATTCTTCACAAAATTGTTATGATCAATAAATGGCTAGTAAATATAAAGCATTTAAATGGTGCCTGACCTCTGATTTATACCAGTACTCAGTAAACCCGCCCATTTCCTTTATTACCAACTCATATCTTTGTGTTTCTCATAATCATATCTCCTCATTGTGGTATCTTAGATTAGACCCCATCCGTTTCCCATCTATTTAAACCTGCTTGGATTCTCCTGTTGTTTTTGTTTTTAAGACAGAGTCTCACTCTGTTGCCCAGGCTAGAGTGCAGTGGCGCAATCTCCGCTCACTGCAACTTCCATCTCCCAGGTTCAAGCCCTGCCTCAGCCTCCGGAGTAGCTAGGATTACAGGCACGTGCCACCACACCCGGCTAATTTTTTATATTCTTAGTAGAGATGGGGTTTCTTGAACTCCTGACTCCAGGTGATCCATCCACCTCCACCTCCCAAAGTGACGGAATTACAGGCTTGAGCCACCGTGCCCAGCCATATCCTCCTGTTG